GGCTAATTTTATATATTTAGTAGAGACGGGGTTTCACCCTGTTGGCCAGGCTGGTATTGAACTCCTGACCTCAGGTGATCCACTCGCCTCAGCCTCCCAAAGTGCTGGGATTACAGGCATGAGCCACCACGCCTGACCCTAAGACAAGATCCTTTTAAAAGACATAAACCATTCTGAGCCTGGAACTGCTTCTCATTTACACAGCTTCTGACAGCATTTTTTTCCTCACTAACTGTGGTCTTCTGCCATCCGACCTTCTACACCTAGAACTCTCTGCTTTGCTAAGAACTAGGTTCCCTTTCCTTTGCCCTCTCAGTCCTCAAGAACCCTACCGATATTTAAACCCAATCAGATGAGGATTCTGGGTTTTTTTTTTAAAGCTACACCTACTGAAATGATAAGATAAGGATTCTAAATTGGAAAATGAACTACCGTAAGTCTCTCCATTTCTAGTAAGACTAGTAAATAATCTATTATTAAAGAACATTGCATTCAAAAGATGTGCTTTAGGATCCTCTCCACCATTCAGTAATTGCATAACCCAATAAAGATAATCTGATCTTCCAAGGCTTCCCTTACTTGTGAAATAAAGCTACCACATTAAAGGCCTTAAGGCAGTATCTTTCCTACATTTTTTTTTAAGAGACGTGGTCTCACTATGCTTCCTAGGTTACAGTGGAGTGGTTATTCACAGGCACAAGAGTGCACTCACACTACAGTCTTGGACTCCTGGGTTCAAGCAATCCTCCTGCCTCAGCCTCTGGAGCAGCTGGGACTACAGGAGCCCCTTCCTTACAATTATTTGATAATTCAACTCAACAAGCGTTTGTTTCTCCAAAAGTTACTTCACACTGGGGAAAGAAAATGAGTGAGTCATACCAGAAAGTCAAAATCCACACAACTGGTGAGAAGGGAAGACTAAGAACTTTTTGCTTGAGAAATCAGTGGTAAAGTATTACTAGGGCTGGGCCGGGTGCAGCGGCTCACGCCTGTAATCCCAGCATCTTGGAAGGCTGAGGCGGGTAGATCACAAGGCCAGGAGATTGAGACCATCCTGGACAACATGGTGAAACCCCGTCACTACTAAAAATACAAAAATCAGCCAGGCATGGTGGCGGGCACGTGTAGTCCCAGCTATTCGGGAGGCTGAGGTAGGAGAGTCACTTGAACCCAGGAGGCAGAGGTTGCAGTGAGTCAAGACTGCGCCACTGTGCTCCAGCCTGGCAACAGAGCAAAAAAAAGTATTATTAGGGCTCTTCTACATCTTTCAGCCTGGCATTCAAAAATTTTCAATAAAGCTATAAAGCTCCTCCACCCCAGCTAGTTCGTTTCCATTTATGTATTTTTCCTTATGCTGTATCTTTCCTCAAAACTTGTAAGCTTTCCTATCTTTCTTTTTTTTCCCTTTCTTCTTATTTAATATTTTTAGAAATGGGCTCTTGCTATGTTTACCAGATTGGTCTTGAACTCTTGGCAAAAAGCAATCCTCCCTTACTGGGCCTCCCAAAATGCTAGGATTACAGGTGTGAGTCATCCCACCCAGCCAGCTTTCCCATCTTTGGCCTGCTTCTCTAGGATCCCAAGCTGAATTTACCATTTCCTTTAGCTTTGTCCCACACCAATACCTCTCTCAACTTTCTATTTATCATACTATGTTCCTGCTTCCTAGCAATTTCACATCCTGATTTTCCCTTTGGGCTCTTTTTTAAGTCTTCGAAAGAATTCAGGTTCTTCATAAAAGGAGTGATTACGCTCGGGCAACATGGCGAGACTCCCTCTGTACAGAAAATACAAAAAGTAACTGCGGTGGTGGCGTGCGCGGCTAGACCCAGCTACTCAGGAGACTGAGGCAGGAGGGTTACTGAGCGACACAGCAAGACCTTGTCTCAATTTAAAAAGTGGGGCCGGGCGCAGTGGCTCAGCCTGTAATCCCAGCACTTTGGGAGGCAGAGGCGGGTGGATCACTTGAGGTCAGGAGATCGAGACCATCCTGGCGAACAAGGTAAAACCCTGTCTCTACTAAAAATACAAAAATTAACCGGGTGTGGTGGCGGGCACCTGTAGTCCCAGCTGCTCGGGAGGCAGAGGCAGGAGAATGGCATGAACCCGGGAGGTGGAGCTTGCAGTGAGCCGAGATTGTGCCACTGCACTCCAGCCTGGGTGAGAGAGAGGCTCCA